ATGCTGCACACACTCCTCTGTTTGATTATTTTGTAATCTGGCTCAACAAGGCAGTTGAGAAATCAGACTGAGATGCAGATAGGCACTTGTGAAAGTCCCTCTGAAATAACTTTTAGTTTAGCCTTAATGGTTTTCTAATTTAGGAGCCAATCATCTGGATAAATGCCAAATTAACTGGATAATTGCTCAACTTTGCACCTCACTTTAATTGGTCCATCAGTTGCTTGATGTTGCTTGAGTGTCCTGCTAGGGTCAGATGTCCTATCCCAAGCAGGGCAATGAAATTTCCTTGAGATATACACTGCAGTAGTGGCTGCCGGCATACATTTTATGTAACAGTTAAAAAAAAATTCTTCAGGACAGAGGCAGTTTCTGTTTCATTTAAATCCTGCAAAATTCATGTCATATTCAAAAAGTACTGGTCAATCCACTTTCTCTTACAGGTAGCTTATTTGACTGCACAAAGCAAAGATTCTCTAGTACAATAATTATATTGCCCTTTATGGTCCATGAAGATTGGACAAAGTATTCAGACATTGTGTTCTCTGTTTTCTAACCTCAACTGCTGTGAATATTGGGCTGTGAATGTTGGGCACCTCTAAGCTCTTCTCTTCTCTGGGAAATTGACTTTGGGTGATCTGCTTCATTCTTCAACCTATCTCCTATCACCTAGGACCCCATCTCTACCATCAATGGGATAGGGTAGGGGCTAACTGAAATGTTTACTTAAATAAAACCAGCATCCCTGCCTCCAGGTAAAAATAACTGTGAAGTTCAAGCTGTCTTTCAAACATCTCCCTTCTGTAACTCACCTGGGCTAGCATTCTTTAATGATGTCTTCTTTCTTTCGGCTCACTGTTTCTTCTTGCCTATGCTTCTCATCTTAGGGACTGCCCCTGACTCCCTTAAGTTTTATAGCTATATGATCAAACCTCTGCTCTAAGAATTCAGGCATCTTCTGTATCATAATTCTATATCTTCTACATCTATAATCTATATTGCACAAACACTGTAGATGAAAAGACAGAGAAATCTCACATATTGGCAATTCATTGAACAACACTGTCCTTTTGTGAACCTGAGTAGAAATATTACATTAGAATGGTTACATTTTAACTAAGAAAATATGCAATGTAGACAGCTGCATATTAGGGTTTTTGGGAGGGATGGATTATACAGACAGATTGATGATGATGATGATGATGATGATGATGATGATGATGTTATTTACATTCCAGTCATTGTCCGCCTTTTATTGCCCCCTCCCAGAGTTCCTCATCTCATTCCTCATCCTCCTTGCCTCCTAGAGGGTGCTCCCCCAACCAGACTCTCCCCTTCCCTGGGGCCTCAAGTCTCTCAAGGATTAAGCATATCTTCTCCCACAGAGGCCTGACCAGGCAGACCTCTGCTATATTTGTGTCAGGGGCTCCAACTGGTCGGTATATGCTACTGGTTGGAGACTCAGTCTCTGGGGTCTGGGTTAGTTGAAACTTCTGGTCTTCCTATGGGGTCAGCCATTACAATCAAGTTTCCCAGTAATTTCTGGGTTGTAGTCATTTAAATTCTAATATATTTGCAGGGGAAAAGAGAGGAATAGAGTTATGTTTATCACCCAGTGTTTATATGCAGCACCCCTAGGAAGCTCAGGGATTATGATCCCTCAAAATGCATCCACGATGTAAGATAATAAAAGAAACAAAGGATTGGAGGATGGGTAGAATGGTTCAGCAGGTAAAGACACTTGGCTCTACACCTGATGCCCTGAGTCACATTTGATACCATAAAAGGAATAAAGGAAACTGTAATTTTAAAAGTTTAAAATATTTGGGTAACAGTTCCCTTAGGAAACTATAAAAAAAATGATGTCATAATTGACCAGTTAAAAACCAGGAAATCTCTATGCAATGTTAATGTACTGACCTCAAGGTAAACCTTTCCCTATGCCCTGTGAGCGAAGCACCCAACACGTCCATTAATTATTGAGCAGTTTCAATCCATTAGAAACAGACATGTTACAAATACATTAAATATCCACACAGAATACATAAAGCCAGACCATGGGAAAAGCCTATTAAGTATATACTTCCTAGACATCTCTTATTCATGACATTAGGGCTATTATCTAACATTAAAGGGAATCTCCTCTCCAGCACTGAATAATCCTAATATTGTATCAATAGTTGAAATATCTTTTCTTTCCTAATGAAAAGTATATGATTTCAATTCTCTTTATTTTTTTTTTTAGTTTAGTTTCATGATTCTAATACAAGTAATAAGAAATAGAGTATAGAAACCCAAAGAGTCAGAGTATTGTTATTTTGTGAGGAACAAAGTCTCTTCTGGAATAAAAGCCTATTATAGTTTACTGCAGTTAAGCAATATCAATCTATGTTGAATTTTCAAAGATCAAATGTCTTATCCCTTGAGTAAGACTCTGGGTAACTACCCAGCCAACATACAAATTCCCTTAAATTAACTCAAAATATATAATGTGACAGGTTTGGAAAGAAAAACAGGCTCTAAAAGAGAGGGCTTGCAAATCTGTCATCTCAAAGTTTCCGTAACTGTTCATTAATACGATTTCATCTTTAGGTCTTGAGCTAAATTTTGTCTATACATGCTTTAGTCACATGAATTTATTGTTTTGAAAGATATTCAGGATTCTATATTTGCAGGAAATCATGTCAGGTTCTTTCTTATTTCAGGCTAATTTACTCTGCCTGGAACATTCTTGGTCTTCTTTCTGTCTGAAATTTCGAATCCAGCTTATGCAAGGCTTAGCTGTCCAGTCCAGCACATCACCCAAGCTCTCCTTCAGCTGCTACCAATCCTTCTGTTTTCAATGCTAGTTTGGCCCATGACTTTACTGGGATAAAAGTGTGGTCCTCATGGTAAATGTGGCTACAATAAGAATAGATAACTAGCTCTTAGGAGCTTTCACCTTCCCTCTCTAGGCTCTGACCTGAAGTTACCTGTGCTTTCAGAAATCTTGATTTCACGTCCTAACACCCAAATGTAATGGTATTATGAGGTGATGATTTGGGAAGATAATTATGCCAGGAAAACAAAGCATTCATTATCTCTTCTGAGGCATGCTGTATGCAATCTGTGTGGCTCCCTGAACTCATATAAACGTTTGCATTTGATAGGATGCTCTCCCAGTCTAAAGACTTAGGCAAAAAGAGCAGCTGTGGCGACTACCTTCCTTACTTCTTTTGTACAGGTTAGAAGATAGTCAATTTGAGATTATATACTTCCCATGTAAGATCTGCCTGCTAGGCAAGGAAGAGAGCCTTGCAAGGGGAGAGTCAGGATTTAGAGACTAGAAAAGGTATCAGGTATATGAATTACTTTTGTCTGTGTGCTTTTCTTCTTATTCCTTCTATTATGGTTCAGTCAAGACTTATTGCTTAGACCTTCCACATTAAGGTATACTGATGAAATAGTTTAGTGCATTTTGGTGGATTTAGACCTATACTGTTACTTTTCTATTAGTAATAGTTAAATTTAAGAACGTTCTATGGGATAGATGCAAGTTGCTTCCCTGGACTTAAAAAACTCCCCACTATAGATTAGATTAACCAATTATTCAAGCATTTATTTACTGACACATAAATCTGTTTTCTAAAATGATATTGCTATTCTTTCATTCACTTATCATCCATATTCATTCAGTATTTATTGAGTACCTACCATGTACTTAATTATTCATACAGCACTGAGGATACAATTATGAACTTTGATACCACAGGAAGATTAAAATGCGGTGGGAAGGGAAAAAAAAGGATGATTGTATCGAAGTATAATATACTCCTGGCCTCTGTTATTAATGAGATAAAGGTAAAGGACAGTACAAAAATCAGTAATGGGAGGAAGTGATCCAGACACAGGGCATGTGTCTTTCTGAGAAAGCCATCTTGATGCTTAGAGAATGGTACTGGAAGCCTTGAAGGCAGGAACAGTGTATTCTATTGGCCTATGGGAAAACTGTCTCCCTAGCATCAAATGCACAGTCGATGAACACAGTTTGCATGTGGTAAGCACTGGATGTATGTAAGAATACATGAGGGTGCTAAGTTAATAAAGGAGTTGAGAGACTGTCTCAGAAAACAGATTGGAGAATAAAGTAATTAATAAAGGCAAAAGAAAGAGGAAGATAGGAGGGTAGGTATGTGGATAGGAGAGGTCAGGGTCAAAGGGAAGACACAGCACATCAGCAGACCATCAGTGCACAGCCTAGAAAGTTCAAACATGGAAGAACAGTAGCCACTTTGCCAGATGTTCAAATAATCCTTTCTAATCAAAGTCCCCACATGCTGACATTGTACCAAATCAGAATGATCACAGCAGACGTATTTCAGAAATGTTTCAACTGCAGGAGCTGAAGAGGTTTGCAACCCCATAGGAAGAGCAACAATATCAACTAAATGGATACCCCAAGAGCTCCCAGGGACTAAACCGCCAACCAGAGAGTACACATGGAGGAACCCATGACTTCAGCTGATGTAGCAGAGGATGGCCTTATTTTTCATCAATGGGAGGGGAGGCCCTTGGTCCTGAAGGGGCTTGATGTCCCAGCATAGGGTAATGCTAGAGCAGTGAGGTGGGAATGGATGGATGGGTGGGAAGGACCTTCATAGAGGCAAACGGGAGGGGAGGTAGGATAGAGGGTTTGTAGAGGGGAAACTGGGAAGGGGGACATTTCAAATGTAAATAAATAAAATAACCAAAAAAATATAGAAATGTGGTCTGTAGATGAATGAAAAACAAATGCCAAGGGAGCCATCTTAACTGCTGTAAGCATCAGAAAAGCCCCATTTTGAAAATGGCCTCTTCCTATTGCCTAGAGGCTATATGACTTGGTTTTAGAACATCTTCAAACCTATTGCTCTCTTTATACATTTTCTAGGAGTGAACATTCATAGTTAGCAATTTTACTTACTACTTAAGTGACTTTTAAGAGATTTTCTTCTTTTATTCTTCCCATTAAAAGGACTCACCTATTACACTAAGCTCAGCGCTGGAAAAGATAACTCCATGTTTATTCTCTGCCACACACTGGTACATGCCAGCATCTGAGAGATTCACTATTGTTATGTTGAGTGTTCCTTGCTCGATTTGTATTCTATCCTGTGAAAGAGAAGAGGAGTACAAAAAATAGTGACCTTCTTTCTACATCTGAGAACTTAAGGCAATTTTGCTACATGTTATGTCAAGAGGGCTTAGTGGGAGGAAAGTCGTCATAATATAAGCAATTTACATTAACATGATCTGCTTATTTGTCAAGTAAATCTGTGCCAGGTCAGATGGCAAATGGAACCAGCAGCATATCAGTTGGTAAATGGAATTTAAATTATAGGATTCTTTTGCATCTGTGTTGATTTAATAGTGAAGTCATTCAGATGAATAGGCACTGTAAATAAGTGAACTTGACCTTGAAAGTCAAAGAGCTGTTTTTACTCAATAGTTTTATGTTAATTGGGGAAATGGGTGAAAACAGAATCAAATTTATCCTTTAGAGTTTAGAGCTCTTAAATTCTCACCAGCTGTACCTTCAAGGACTGATAGGATTATAATTTTAGATGGGCATATGCAAATTTTCAGTATCTGCTGAGTTTACCAAAAATTATGTATCAATAATTCAATATTCTACCAGGCATGGTGGTGGCACATTCCTTGGATCCCAGCATCTAGGAGGCAGAGGCAGACAGATCACTGCATAGATGGGATTGTCTACATAGTGAGTTCTAGGCTAGCCAGAGATACATATTGAAACCATGTCTCAAAATACATCAATATTCTGAAGCTTGGTTGCTGTCAATGGAAAGATTTACACTTATGATCTACTTGTAGTCCAGATGAAGGAAGAAAGATATATGACAATAAAATATTCTAATGTGACACGCTAAAGTCATGAAACTTGAGCATCGATTTGTACATCACTAAGGATTTTCTTTCTACACATTAAACACACACACACACACACACACACACACACACACACGTCCCCATTGAACACAAAACCTTAGAATGAAGAACTCCTGTCTTCTGAAGGACAGCTGTCTAGTTGAATGGATACATTTTTGGACTTTGATTAAGTCATCCTTGTTCTCACACATTTCAAGAAATGAGGGAAATACCAAGGGCCTGGGAACTAGCACACTTGCAATTTGTTTGACTTTTGTGACAGAGGGAATGATGAATCAGAGGAGCCTTCTTAGGAACTGAAAGTCACCATGAAATGTGGTCATCCAAAAAACTTATTCCTTTTCTTTACCAGTAACCCAGGGCAAACACTTTCTCTTTCCTAGTTATACTGTACAAGGAAGGAATCTGAGTATGAAAGCTGGCTCTCAATGTGGGGACTCAGGAAAACGCCAAATTCTAGTAACATTTGACTTTTTGTAATAACACACAATAACACAAATTAAACTGGACATAACTGTCTCTCTGATTTAATTTTGAGAGTCAGGTTGCATTTGGATGACCATCGTTATATGATATCCAGGCTTTCCTTAGTGAAGTGGGTCCTTGAATGTCACTTTCTACAAACTAAAGGTTCCAGGCATTCTGTGTGGGTTTCTTATTATAAAGCTACCAAAGTGTTAACAATATGTTGGTTACGACGGTCTGGTGTAGAAGTTAAGCAAGACTTATTTATAATTTCCATTTGTCAACTTTTTCTACTATTAGTAGCATTTAGTTGCTGTTATTTTGGAGACAACTCAACATTATTCTGTTTCCATAGCAATGAGGCCACATTAAACATTACATTACATTAAGACAGAATTAACAGGGCTGGTGAGATGGCTCAGTGGCTAAGAGCACTGACTGCTCTTCCAGAGATCATGAGTTCAAGTCCCAGCAGCCACATGGTGGCTCACAACCATCTGTAATGATATCTGATTCCCTTTTGTGGGGTGTCTGAAGACAGCTACAGTGTATTTACATATAATAAATAAAAGTTAAAAAAAAAAGACAGAATTACCGTCAACTTACTTACCCGTGTTAACAGTGGGTCTCCATTTTTTAGCCACCTGTAGGTAGGCTTGGGCCTCCCATTTGCTTTACATTCCCAGAAGACACTTTCTTCCATGGCCACGTGGATATCATTTATTATTTGAACCCAGTTAGGTTGAGCTATAAATATTAAAAAAAAAACAAGAAGAGGTATATATTCATTGTTTAGCCACTTTCTTTTTATTTGAAGCAAGTGAAAAATAAAATGGGCTTTTAATCAAATTACTTTTCTACATGACATACAAATAGTAAGGGTGAGAAGACGTTTATGGAGACTGTATGATCTTTTACACACACTGTGTTTCTTGTCCATATTGTGGATGATTTTTTAATCATTGAAGGGAGAATCTACAAAACTTTTATTAACCATGATTTGAATCATCCTGTCCCTTACATATTGCTGTTGTTTTGTTTTTTAATATGAGAAAACTTCAAGTTCCACCTTTGAATGACCTCATGAATTTCTACCTACTCTTGTTTAAGATTCCTTTTCATTAAGAAATAATAACCAAGTGTCTAAGTTTGCTCACTGAAGCAAGTAGAAAGGGTACTCTTGGACATTAGTTCTAGAGACCTAAGTCTCTGCATTAATTAGAAACTGGTAAAAAGTTTAACATGCTTGGTAATAGAGATGGCAGCAATACAGGGATGGGACTGATGAGCAGCCCATCTTGGCCCTTGAAAGACACTGTGAAGCAAAGCAAACCAGTAGTGAGTGAGAGCTACTTATTGATTTTTGGAAAGATAACATGAGGTAAATGCCTCTCATTGAAGCCATTTTATACTGAATTTTTCTTTCATTAGAACAGCTTAACTCATCCCTTACTAGCCTGTTTCATTCTGATAGGTTACATGGACAGCTTTGGAGCCCTTATATGTCCATGATAAACTATTATTATCATTCAGTATTTGCTGATTCCATATTGGAAGGATGCTAGACATCGCAGTATAATCCTTAAAGTCAATATTTTTCAGTGAGTCTTGAATTTACTGAACTCTTTTAGAAAATCAAGTTCTGTACATAATCTCACATGGAATTCAAAGAAGCATTTAATTCTCACATTTCATAATACTTCACATCACCTCAACACCCATATTTTACCATGTTTTTCATGCTTCCATTGAAGGCATGTTTTATTTTTCTATGATCTCAATAGATATTAACCAATGTTCTATAAACATATTAATAAATATCACTTCTTGCCTACAGCATAGTTTGTGCTTTTATCTACAATTCTTATTGGTAGAAGAGGTTTTGCTAAAACTCCTATAGAAGATAACTACAGTGATTAATTGGAGTAGTTATCTATTCACAGGTAGTTACCTGTTCTGCAAAGTAATAACTACTGATGTTAACTTAATAAGTAGAGTTGATACTAGTATTAATCATGTATGTTATCAAATATCCTTAACACGTCTTTTAGCTGACTTGACCTCAGTATATCCATTTAGCAAGGCTTTAAGTCATGGATAATTTAATTCAAAGAGAATGGTAGTGTGAAGGCAAAGCTATGTATCTTACCTTCTGGATAATAAATAAAAAATAGAAAAACACTCAATAAGTCACTTAACCAACCAGCAGAGGTCTCTAAGTCCTTGAAAAATGCTGTTTCCTTCTTTTCTATCTACAAGCAATTCCATGTTTTCAAAGAGCAAAACACAATTTTGCAAATGCTCTCCTGATGGAGATGATGCATGGCTCCTTAAGAGGGGAGGCCAAAAGGGTCAACTTCAAAAAAACGTTACAACATCAACAAGCATTAGCTTGAATGAAGGGTTATAACCTGCATCATTGAAAGAGCTGCACGTTGGCTGCTGTCCTCTATCATCCGGCTGCTAATGGGAAGGGAAGCTCAAGAGGTAATATCTTCCCAGAGCTCTACTGGGAGAAGCCAGCGTGCAACTCCTTTAGGACTAATGGCCTAGTCTGCCAGATACACATTCAACCTGCAGCATATTCACCCCCTGCAGAGTCCTGGGAAACAAGGTAAAGAAGAAAGTCACAGAAATCTGTGGAATATTAACAAGAGCAAACTTTTGAAAAAGAGGGAGAGAATACAAAGCAAAACAAGGAAGGACAAATATAACTTATGCAGCAATGTCAAGTAGAAGTTCAAACAGGAAATTTCACAAACATGCAGAGACAGACTTCAATGTCACCCATTTTCTGGAACACTTGGGCTCATTCTTTCAAAACTATAGGAATCTGGAAGCCAAGCCTTGCCACTTCACAAAAAGAGCTGGGGTAGGAAAGGGAGGCTTTGAAAAGAATTTGAAATGACCTTGCAAATTTCAACCTAATTAGGTACTTCTGTGGGCTCATTCTTTCTCTGGCAATGGGGTTGTGAAAGTCAAGGAGCTCAACAGAATAGATAATTGGTCCAGGCTTAGGTGAAACCTACAACTAATTTGCCTAATACTGAACTGATTTGGTGTTTGACAACAGTCATCAAGTACATTCTTTGCTTTTAGAGTGAAATCTCTTCACAGAAGCCAAATTAAAATGATCTAAATACATTCCTCTTGAAGTGAATAACTGCACAGGAACCCAGGGAGGTGACGAATGAAGTGGCTAGGAGAGGGGAGATAGATTAGCTGATAAAGTGCTTGATATACAAGC